GCTCAGGGATCTTGCCTGACATCTGGACTCAGCAGTTCTCTGTTCTGGCCCTATGAAATGAGAGAGAAATATAGAAATGTATCTAGCTAGTTAGCTAGCTAGATGCCCCCTGGTACCTGGCACAGAGCTCCTAAAACCCTTGCCAATCCTATTTGATAAAAGAACTAGGAATATCTTTAATTCTAATATTTGGTCTTTCCTCCCAATTCCTGACACGGAGTTCCTAACTGAATTGTAATTTCCTGGGTGAGACCACAGTCTTTTGTTCGATGAGGTGACACTCTGGAGGGCTTCTGGACAGGGTCTGATCATCAGAAAACCAAGCCACCACCCTCAGGCCTACCCCCTGTTCTGCAGAGAGGGAAAGGACCTGGAAGCATGGGCTTCACCCTCCACTCCAGGATAGACAGGTTACCCGTACTTACCTGATGAGGTCCCCATAAAAACCCCAAAAGGACAAGGTTCAGAAAGCTTTCAGATGGCTGACTTTGTAGAGATGCGGCCATTGGCATGCCAGAGGGCAGGGAAGCTCTCCACCCCTTCCTACATCCCTTTCCCAAGCAGCTTCCATCTGGATATTCATCACTGTCCTTTAACTGATCCTTTTCTAATAAACTGGTGAACAGTGAGCAAACTATTGTCCTGAGTTCCGTGAGCCATCCAGCCAACTAAGTGAACTGAGAAGGGGGTTGTTCTATGCAATCAGTCAGAAGCATGAGGGACAACCTGGCCTTGCCATTGACATCTGACGTGGGGGAGTCTCATGAGACTGATGCCAGCATTGGAGGACCTGCTGCTTTCTCTCTCCGGGACAACAGTGCCAGATTTGAGTTAAATTTTAGCACACCCCACTAGTGTTGCAGAACTGGTGATTGTGGGTGAAGTTCCTTACACATCTGGCAAGAGTGGTAGTGGCATGACAGGAAAGGACAAAAACACATTTGCCCTAAGCATGTCCTCCTCACATGCATTACATAAACCATTAACACTCATCACACTCTATTGGATTCAGTTATGAAATATCTCTTGGCTCTCTGGACAGTAAGCACTGTGAGGGCTGTATTCACATTGGTCCAGTTCATCCCCTGCAGCTACTAAAGTGATTAGCAATGATTAGATGATGTTTCTTGAAGGAGAATGCTCTTGAATGGACTCCAGGACTGCTTAGATGGAAATGTAGGCAGTTTGGAGAAACCTGAGAGAAGTGATGAGAGTTAGTATGTACTGAGTGCGAAGGAGAGAGAGAGAGAGAGAGAGAGAGAAAGAGAGAGAGAGAGAGAGAGAGAGAGAGAGAGAGAAAGGAAGAAAGGAAGGAAGGAAGGAAGGAAGGAAGGAAGGAAGGAAGGAAGGAAGGAAGGAAGGAAGGAAGGAAGGAAGGAAGGAAGGAAGGAAGGAAGGAAGGAAGGAAGGAAGGAAGGAAGGAAGGAAGGTTAACAAGTTTGGGCAGAAAAGCTAGATAAAGAAGAAATAGAACACCTAAACAGACCAATTACAAGCAGCGAAATTGAAATGGTAATCAAAAACCTCCCCAAAAACAAAAGCCCAGGACCTGATGGATTTACAAATGAATTCTACCAAACATTCAGAGACGAATTAGTGCCTATCCTTCACAAACTCTTCCAAAAAATTGAGAAGGAAGGGACAATACCAAACACGTTCTATGAAGCCAATATTACACTAATGCCAAAACCGAATAAGGACAACACAAAAAAGGAAAACTATAGGCCAATCTCCTAATGAACACTGATGCAAAAATCCTCAATAAAATTTTAGCTATCAGAATCCAACAATGTATCCATAAGATAATTCACCACGACCAAGTTGGATTCATTCCAGGGGCACAAGGATGGTTTAACATCCGAAAATCAATCAACGTTATCCAACACATCAACAAAAAGAAATATAAAAACCATATGATAATATCAATAGATGCTGAGAAAGCTTTCGACAAAGTGCAACACCCATTCATGATAAAAGCCCTTGAAATTCTTGGGATACAAGGAACATACCTCAACATCATAAAGGCCATCTATGACAAGCCAACAGCCAGTATCATTCTCAATGGTGAAAAGCTGAAAGCAATTCCATTAAGATCTGGAACAAGACAAGGATGTCCACTCTCACCACTGCTTTTCAATATAATACTGGAAGTCCTAGCCAGAGCAATAAGACAAGAGAAAGACATCCAAGGAATCCAAATAGGAAAAGAAGAAGTCAAACTATCACTATTTGCAGATGATATGATAATATACATAGAGAACCCCAAAATCTCCACAGAAAAACTAATTCAACTCATCAGTCAGTTCAGTAAAGTGGCAGGATACAAAATCAACACGCAAAAGTCAGTAGCCTTCCTATACACAAACAATAAATCTGAAGAAGAAGAAATCAAAAAAACCACCCCTTTTATTATTGAAACAAAAAAAATCAAATATTTGGGAATAAATCTAACAAAAGAGGTAAAGGACCTATATAAAGAAAACTATAAAACACTGTTAAAAGAAATAGAAGAAGACACAAAGAAATGGAAAGACATCCCCTGCTCATGGATTGGAAGAATAAACATTATTAAAATGGCCATCCTACCAAAAGCGATATACAGATTCAATGCTATTCCAATCAAAATCTCAATGGCATTCTTCAAAGAAATAGAACAATTATTGATGAAATTCATATGGAATCACCAAAAACCCCGAATAGCCAAAGCTCTACTGAAAAAAAAAGAAGGGAATGGAGGCATCAAACTCCCAGACTTCAAACTATACTACAAAGCCATAATCATCAAAACTGCATGGTATTGGAACAAGAACAGACATACAGACCAATGGAATCGAATAGAAAATCCAGAAATAAACCCCCAGATTTATGGTCAACTAATCTTTGACAAAGGAGCAAAGACTATGCATTGGAGCAAAGAAAGTTTGTTCAATAAATGGTGCTGGGAAAACTGGGTCGCTACATGCAAAAGAATGAAGCTTGACCACTACCTCACACCATACACAAAAATCAACTCAAAATGGATTAAAGAACTAGACATAAGACCTGAAACCATAAAATACATAGAAGGAAATATAGGCGAAACACTACGGGATTTGCACATCAAAGACATCTTTACAGACACATCACCCAAAGCAGTGATAGTGAAGACAAAGATAAACAGCTGGGACTACATCAAATTAAAGAGCTTCTGCACAGCAAAAGAGACAATAACAAAATCAAAGAGAAACCCCACCAACTGGGAGAACATTTTTGCACACAACACTAATGATAAAGGACTGATCACAAAAATCTGCAAAGAGCTGATGAGACTCAGCAACAACAAAGAAAATAATCCAGTCAAAAAATGGGCAGAAGAGCTAAAAAGAAACTTCTCTGAAGAGGAAATGCAAATGGCCAACAGACATATGAAAAAATGTTCAACATCACTTGCAATCAGGGAAATGCAAATCAAAACTACCATGAGATACCATCTCACACCAGTGAGAATGGCACATATTAAAAAAACTAGCAACAACAAATGTTGGCGAGGATGTGGAGAAAAAGGAACTCTTGTGCACTGTTGGTGGGAGTGCAAACTGGTCCAACCACTATGGAGAGCTGTGTGGAGATTTCTGGACCTACTAAACATAGAGCTTCCATATGATCCAGCAATTCCACTCCTAGGTATTTACCCAAAGGACACAGAAACATCAATTCCAAAGAGCACCTGCACCCCTATGTTTATAGCAGCACTATTTACAATAGCTAAGCTTTGGAAACAACCCAAATGCCCAAAAGTAGATGACTGGATCAAGAAGATGTGGTACATATATACCATGGAATATTACTCAGCATTCAAAAAAGATAAACACATGCAATTTGCAGCAACATGGATGGCGCTGGAAGGGATCATGCTCAGCGAAATAAGCCAAAAAGAAAAAGAAAAATACCGGATGGTCTCACTCATAGCAGGAATCTAGAAAACTTAAATAAGGGACCAGGAAAATGAATAACTATAGGAAAGTGAAAATCAAAATCAACAAAAAACTATGAACCAGAGACACTTTTTGGGGGGGTGGGGGGCGGGAGGGGAAGGATTGGGGTCAGAATGGGGCGTTTGCAATTGTATGGGGGAATATAAAAATAAAATTTAAGATTAAAAAAAAAAAAAAAAAAACAAGTTTGGGCAGAATAAATGGTTATGACCGAGGACTCACCCTGTTAGTCCCTAATGGCCCTGTAAATGCCGCACTCAGTCCTGGCACCTTTGGGCAAAAGGTGTCTTCTCCCCATTTCCTGTTCCGCCTTCCTCCCTCCCACAAACTCCATGTTCGCATGAGACGCGCACACACTGCTTTGGCTAGAGAGCTAGATGAGAGCTGTGGCTGTGGCAGCTAATAAAACTCATGAGGAATTTTATCAGAAGATAAAATCCCCAGCAAAGTTCTAATATCCACCCGTCCGAGCCACAAGATTTCAGAGAAGGGACAGGGAGTTAGGGAGTTGGGAGAAGAATCCCTGGGGAGAACTGGCTGTGGGGGTGTCCATTCCCAACTTGTCCCAAAGTTACCATTTTGGATTTCCCCTCAGTACAGACCTCACAGGGAACCCACCGGCTCATCCCAGTCTCCTTTCTGTATGTGTGACCATTCCAGAGGGCTCTGGATCACTTCTATTTGATAGACTTTATCCTATGCATGAGTTTTCACTCAAATGTTAAAACCAAAAAAGTATTTTTTGTTTCAAAGCATTTTACTGACCTGACATTAACCAGATTCCTTTCCTTAGTTTACTTGTTTCTTCAACCCTGTGACAACAAGAAATCATTTCTACTGTGAAATGTAACTAGCTGCCTGGGGATCATGGAGTTGGGCAAGTCACCGACTATCTTAATAGGAAGCACGGTGTGTTCCTCTTCCTGGAGTGTCTATTGCTATTTTTATTGACTCTAGGCTGAAATATTTCCAGTCTACAATACCCTTGATAGGCCCTGCCCTTGAAATACCAAGGAAAATAATTACCCTTCAGAGTCACAGGCTCCTGGGTGTGAATCCTGGCCTCCCCATTCCCAGATGTGTGACCTTGGACATAATCTCTTCAGGGTTCAATTCACTGAAGTAGGGATTCCTGGAATTAGAATTAAATCTATAATTTACAGAGGTAGCATAAGATAGACTGGGGAAGGGCCTCCCTGGTGGTGCAGAGGTAAAGTCTCAGCACTATGAAGCTCTTGCCAGCCACTGTGGCATGATTTTGATCCCCGGCCAGGGAGCTGACCCACATGGCACAGCAGACCTCTCCTGTCTTGTCCACTGCTCCCTCGACAGTGTTATTTCAGTAGATCCGCCTGTTCTGCTCCCCACTCTGTCTCTGGTGAATCCTCTCTCACACACCCCACTCCCTGCTATAATTTTGGCCTACACCCCAGTTCTTGTATGCATAAATCAATAAAATATGTCTTTAAAAAATTAATCTTAAAAAAAAAAAGAATACGGATTTTGCATTCATAATAATGGGTAAAGAATAAGCACTCAAGTAAGGGCCGCTTTCAATATTGATGACAATTGTCACTGGGCCACAAAGCAAGTCACTAGTACCGTGCATTGTTCTGCTGCCCAAGGCTTGCTAGTGACTTGCATCTAATGTCCCTTAACATCTGCAGGGCAGGCTGATTTCAGAAATACTTTTCTTCATATCTTTGGCATCAGCGGCTATCAGTCAGCTTTAAAGGATGGTCTGAAAGAAAACATCAGAGTATGTCTCACCTCCAGTCCCAGCAACAAACCCGAAGTTGCAATTCTCTTCTCCTGGCATAATTAGAGTACATCAGAGGGGCTCTTCCCAGGCACTCTGCGCGGTGGGGGCAAATTCCATTAGTGACCCTGCTAATGCAGATGTTTTTGGGGACACTTCCTTCTGCCATCGCCCCGATCCTGTAGCCCACACGTGTCCCCTGAGACCTGCTTTGCCCTGCAGCCACAGCATGGACCTGCTGGGCACGACCTGCCCTGTGGCCAGCCGTGAAGTTGAATAGGTTTTTATTTTTATGTTATTCCCTCATCTATCTGTCTTTCCCAATTTAAATGAAAGAACAAACATAAATAATACTAATGATAGTGGTAAATATTTTTATGTTTTAAAACTATGAATCCTGTGGAACACAAGGAAAGGCGGAAATACTGGCCTAGGTGATTTTTATCTTTCAGTTCAACTTCTTTTGTTCAAGTGCAGAGACGGGACTTAGAACACTTTTCTGTTTTGTGGGTGGTAGATTTTTTTTCCCTCTTTTCCAGTGCCCAAATTATCTGCAAGTCCTTAGATCCATTAGCCTAATTAATATTAAGAACATATGCATATGCAAATAAGGTCCTCTTTGCCATATATTTCACTTTATAAGACAGGTTGAAGGGTGGTTGGGTGAGTCAATCAAATGTCATAAATTGGCTATGCATAAGATCTCATTAATATTAATTGGGGCGTGGGCATTGTGCAGTAGTCCATGCCTCCATTAGAGATGGGCCCCTTGCTCTAATTGTCCCAAAGATTTTGAAAACCAAAGCCTCTGACCTGATTTAAATATGTAATCTCCCCATCCCCCTCTGCAAGGTAGTCTACCGAGCAGCATCAGAAAGGTATTAAAAAATACAGAGCAGACCTTTTCTAAGACAGATGGCACACAATGAGGTTAGAAAAAGTATCTGGAGATCCAACCTGCAAGAACAAAAAAAAATTGCTTGCATTGTTGTTTTCATTATCTTGCTTCTGTCATTTCATGAGCTTTGTATCTTGCAAGGAAAGAAAGAAGGGAGAAAAACTGTGAAATTAATCTTTTGTGCATGGCCTGATAAAGAAGAGACATGCTCAGACAAAAGATAGACTGAGAGAAGGTACCGTGATTGATGACTAAAGTAAAGGTGTCAGAAGAGTATTATGTAAATTACTGGAGGCACACACCATTTCAGAGAGAATGAGAGGGAGAGCAGGCAGGGGGAGAGGGAGAGGGAGAAGGCAAGAGAGGGAGGAAGGTACTGAGAGTGAAAAAAGGATTGCAGAGTCGATGTCACCAAAGAACTGGTCCCCAAACACCCATTTCTTGCCATCTTTCATCTCCTTCTCCGACAAGCTCACCTCACATTCTCTCTGGGTCGCAGATGTAACAAAGGGGTGGGGGCGGGGGAAGAACTGTCAACATTAGCATGATTCTAGTCAAGCAAAGGTTTAGGGAAAGCAGAGTCTGAAGTGAAATCATCAAGGAGCGAAGTTTCAGTTAAAGGGGAAAAGGAGACGACTGCTACTGCGTGTCTCCCTGTGAAGCCGTGGCGTGAGGTGGGGACAGGCAGCGGTCACCCTCTTCCTCATGCTAGAAATGGGCTCTGGAGGGGCCGGGGACCCTCCCCTAAGTCAACAACTCTATCTACACATCTGTGCCAGTGAGTGACCTCTGAAAGGCCAGGGGCTGCATTACAAAAATCTCTGCTCCGAGTTTTTTTCTTTTTGAATAAATGCACTTTTGAAGTAATGAAATGAAAACAAGTGTTGAAAAGCACCTTCCTTTCCTGACTGGAAGAGGCACAAAGTACTAGGAATAGGCTCTGTGCCTCCCAGTTCATCTCATGCTTGGGAGCCCAGCACTGCACAGACCAGCTTTTAAAAGAAAACCATCTCGGAAACCAAATCTGGAGTCAGCAAAGTTGACGTTCGATGGCACTCTCTGACCAGGGTGCTAATATCTACTCCCCTTCTCATTTGGAGCTACCTGTTTCCATTCGTTAAGGCCTGTATGCACTGGGGGCTAAATATTTTAAATATCATCCCTTTGGAACAAGTCCTCAGAGATGAAGTCTCATGTCCAGATGGAGGTTTTTCTCCACACCTGCTCCCTCACTCCTCAGCAGAGTGTGAAGGGAAGGGGAATAAAATGAACCTCATTTCGGGACCTCCCTGGTGGCACAGGGGTTAAAGTCTCAGCTATCAAGTTATCACCACTGTGGCACGAGTTCAATCCCCGGCCAGGGAGTTACCCACATGGCACAGCAGACCTCTCCTGCCTCGCCCACTGCTCCCCTCTGCAGTGGATTTCAGTAGATCTGCCTATTCTGCTCCCCGCTCCATCTCTGGTGAATCCTCTCACCCCCTGCATATCTGGCCTGTACCCCAGCTCTTGTATGCATACATAAATAAAAATAAATCTTTAAAAAAATAAAATGAACCTCATTTCATGAAAAGCTTAGAAGGTTCCCAAACACTACAGAGAATATAGTAAAACCTCAAACCAGGGTGAAACTAAAACTATAACTAACCAATTTAAAAATAAATGATTAAATGAAATTTAAAGTGTGCTCATGTGATTTTCCCATTTTTTATTATTTTGGAAATTTTTGAAATGGCAAATGACCGGGAGACTGAAGGATATCTAGGAATGGAGATTAAAATGGACCAAATTTACACTCTGAAAGTGATACCACAAGACACCTCCATCAGGGACACTTACACCCCCAGCCTCGGGACCACCCCTTCCTTCTCTAACTCCTATGTCCTAACTGCCCTGCCACACCCTTTATGTATTCCAAAATCACTATTCCTCAAGTCCTCCTATGTGCGAACACTCTGCCAGGTAATGAGGTTACAAAATTGAACAAGGGTCACACTTTCTTTGGGGGAGCTGGTATCACTTTCCAGGTTGTGACCAGCTCCTTGTGGCCATGTCTCACAGCACACAGCCCTCTCCTTGAGGGCCAGGGCAGCACTTTGCCACTGTGAGATCAGGCCTTGCTGTTTTAAACAGAATTTCCCAAAATGGAGTTTTGCCACAGATGTACCTGAGCATGGAGAGAGAACTAAGCCAGGGTGCTGCCCTTGGGAAGGCGAAAGATCCAGAGGAAAGGCGTCTGTCTTCTTTTATCCCTGCATGATTTAACTTTGTTCTTATTTAGGAATCCTTTGGTCACATGGAACAAACCTTTGTTCAAAGAAACTCAAGGGAGAAGTTTTATTACAGAAGGAGCTCAGAGGACCCAAGAGGGAGAAGTATATTTGGGTCTCAAGAGATAACAGAATAGTGGCCTAGAAAGGCATCAAACTCCAAACTCCTATTTTCTGTGTATTTATATTTCTTGGGTAGCACATGAGATTTGCTACCTTGGGTAGCACATGAGATTTTGTCCCTGCTTCTCTCCTGATATCTGCATATTTCCTCTGTCACTCTGCAACCCCTTTCCTTTGCTGGTTTTCCTCACAGACCATCCTGAAGGCCCCATAAAGAAGGTGGTACCAACACTGCCAATAGTAACAATAATAGCATCGAGCCTGTGAAGTGCTACAAGTATTGTTCTGACCATATGACACATACTAACTTACTTAAGAACCTTACTACTTTCATCTTTTCTAATTTTATTCATCACTATACATTATTTCTTTTTTTATCATTACTAATTACTATCTCCATATTTCAGCTATGGAAACTGAGGCAGACTGGTGAATGCACAAAACTGCTAGCAGACTAGCCCCAGAGCTGTGTACTTAGTCACTAAGTCAGACTACCCAGAACCCACAAGGTGCCAAGGCCTTCTAGATCTGCTAAGGAGAGTCTGTGTCCCAGCTGCAAATTTCCAGGTGGAACTAAATGGGGAAGCTTGCAAGCCAGCTGACACCCTTAGCCACAGTTAGGGGTGACTAGCCAGGTTGTATGCAATGCCGCAGGTGGAAACCAGAAGAGGGTGGGGATAGTGGGAAGAGCCTAAGAGATATGTAATATTTATGCAAATATTTTCATAGAAAAGTCTTTCAAATTTGGACCTTACTAATATAACAAATAGTGCTCAACAAGTAAATTTTGGGTAACTATAGGACTGGAGCAACCCATGACTGGGCAATAATGGACGTGTTTCCTTTTTTTTTTAATTTATTTATTTATACAAGAGCTGGGGTACAGGCCAGATGCGCGGGAGAGTGAGAGGATTCACCAGAGACATGGCGGGGAACAGAACAGGCAGACTGACTGAAATACACTGCTCAGGGGAGCAGCGGGTGAGACAGGAGAGGTCTGCCGCATCATGTGGGACTCTCGCCAGCCAGCCGGGATCAAACCCGCACTGCAGAGGCTGTGGACAGCTTCACAGTGCGGCACTCAACCACCTGCGCCACCAGGGAGGCCCTGGACTTGTTTCTTATAGGAAAATCTCATTTCTGCCTCCTGCACTCAACTCCAAAAGGCTGTCCGAAATTTACACTTCGGGTCAAAGAACAGAGAGTAAAAGCTAATGAGGAGTGGGTCGGATGAAAGAATAAAGAACAAAAAATGAGTTTTGAGTGGATGCGGTGCTGAGGCAGCCTCCCTTTGGGGTAGTGGCGTGATGGGCTCACTCTGGCCTGGAACCTGGGGGGAAGGGGAGTTCTTGTATCCACTCTGATGCCTCTGCTATTTAGTTATCTGACTCTGAGCATGTCACTACACATATTGGCCTCAGCACCCACACCTGGAGAAATATCTCATCTGCCTCTGAGCTTTAAACCTGTGTGTCTCTCAAAGCCCCCACACCCGGGTCCTGTGGTTGTTCCCTTTGGTGAGCAGCAGCTCGGGCAGTCAGGTGGAGGTTCTGACTTCCCAGGGCACCATCTGCTACTTTCCTGGCAGGTGGGCTCTCTGGATAAAGCAGCAATGATGGTGGACATAGTCAAAACAGCTTGCTATGGACTCAATAACAAGTTAGAAAATGCCCATCTCTTTCTTCTCACCAAGTATTTTCAGACACTTTGGAGAAGCTGAGTGGCTTCCTGGGCCGGTCTCATTTGGAGGCTGGGCCACAATTGTTGCCACTTTGTTTTCTAACAGCCTCTTGTTGCCTTAGCCCCAAAGTCTTCCTGAGAAAGCTTTTTCCTTTCATATGTCTGACCTTAAGATTCAGCTAGCTCCTGTTTTAAAACCAATTATTACATATTGTCTTTTGAATTTCACCCCTGACACCACTTTGCCCTGGCTTAATTCTATGACTTGTTTTTATTCAAAACTTTCATTTTTGAGGAAGGTGTAAGAGCTGCAAATGGCCTTCTAGAAGCCCCGAGTTAACCACAGCTCTAGTGATCAAAAATAGAGAACTGTACTTGCTGCACACGGTTATGAAGGATGTGTACCTGTTATGAGTAATGTGGACAGAAGGAAACCAAAAGCTACATGATGAGAGAACAGTTCTGGGTCATGACTTCTGTGTATTAGAAAGAACCTCGCTCCTGAACTACCATCACCAATCCAATGTTCCTTAGGCTTTTGTACAGGTAACCCCTCCTATACCATTGTCTCCTTCAGAAACTATCCCTCCCTTCGTGTTCCCCCTGCAGTCATTAACAGCACCCTGGTTGTCAACCTCAATACACAACTATCCAACAAGCCTACTCAAGGTTGTGTCATAAATGTCTCCCAGATCCACTCTCCTCTCTCCATCCCATTCAAACTGGTCTAATGCAGACCTCCCCTCCCTCACCTGGTCTTCCAGAGGCCTTAGCTTCCAAAGTGGTTTCCTTTCCTCTGGATTTCCCTATCTCCAGTTTATTCTCTATGATGGGCAGGTGATTTCCTAAAACAAACACATGACCATGGCCCTTGCTGACTTTCAGACCGTGATGGTTCCATAGCACATGTAGAATGATTCCCAACTCTTTGGAGACGCATACTTGTTCCTCACATGTGACCAGCCAGCTAAGGATTTGTAGA